TTATTTATTTTTATTTATTTATTTATTTTTGCAATTTGTTTTTGTAGACATCTAGATGAGGAGCATAGGATTCTCTTCTGGCATTGAAGGACTGACCCACGTTAGTTAAAAAAAAAATTAAATGTCATATCTGTACTGACTTGCAGGGCTCCAGAACTGTTTGAAGTTCCATCAAACTGTGAAATTGATGAGAGGAGTGATGTTTGGTCAATGGGTTGTACTCTGTTTGCCATGGCTTATGGTGAGTAAATGGGTTGTACTCTGTTTGCCATGGCTTATGGTGAGTAAACTTATTCAACAGAAGTTTGCAGCAGAAACTGAAAATATGTACTGATCCGGGGAGAAAAAGGGGCTTATTAATCCACTTAACGACGCAAACCGTATAAATGATTTCTGGTTTTATTCGATCTATTAAGGAAAACGTTGCATAATATTAGATAGGGCAAACTATAGGGAAAACTACAACATCAGCGAACTACAGTGATTAACCGCATATCATCGACCACTTACTTCTGTGACGATATCCAGCAGATTATTCCTAATCACTCGTAAACACGGGGTGGCAGTTCAATTGGGCATCTGGTTGGCAAAATCATATGAAACGCCGGTCAGCGAGAGAACAATTTAGCACGTATCGGTTCCTTCTAAAAATGAACTTTGAAGACGTTGCGGGATCTTACGAAGTTACTAATCCAAAGTGTATAATGAACTTAATGAAAAGGGAAATTAATTGTCAATCAATTATGACTTGTATCTAATTATATATTTTTCTCAACGAAACATGTACCAAGAACATATGGCGAGTTTTTTTTCTGTCTGGAGGTTGTATAATTCAGTTTTTACCTGTAGTAATAGGTGGATTAACATTTTTAACTTTTTGGATACTCAAAGCATGGAAATTGTGGCATGTGAACAGTGATGTCACAATGAAGTTCTACAACAAAATAACAGGGTTATTTGTTTGATGGTGAATACTTCAAATCTTTTTAAGGCAGAAACATCGAAATCACAGAGAACTAGAATTTCATACATATGGCAAATGTAGAATAGGCAAAGGCTAGCTTATTCACTCATCTCCAGTTTCAAAGAATGGGCTGTGATGCCAGACTACAAGTTCATCGGAACACAGTCATGTGCTATCTCAAAGATGCTCAAAATCTCGAGCCCTGTATTCAGGGAATTGCCCATAGGAAGTCTTTAATAGCTTTTTGACATAGATGGGAATCTCCATATGTTCAGCATTTCTAACGCTTTTTGTTTTAAACCAGGTCAGAGCCCCTGCGATGGCTCAGCGCTCTCCGCAAATAGTGGTAACATTCAAATTCCAAGCAACAGGTACGTTTGTTGATAAGTTCACTCCAAAAA